GCTTGTGTTTTGTAAATTATATGCAATTTGTACTGTTCTGGTGCTGTGCTGTTTCTGCTCACTACATCCTGCCTTCCTGGCTACTGGGCTTCATTCTGACACCCTTGTGTCTAATGAGCAGCAGAGCAGGATGCCAGCAATATGTTCTGAAGAGCATGAGTAATCCCTGCTGTCTGAGAATAGAATTGGTGTGAGCAACCCTAGAAAAAGCCAGTAATTCCTCTTATTTCCTCTTATTTCAGCCTCTCTGTACTCTGATTCACACTTCAGATGATGCCCCAAGGTCAATTGATAGAGATCTGAATTTCAGCACAACTTAAGGGTGCACTGCCATTGCTGGGGAAAATACTTGTCCATTTAAGTCTCCTTTTAACACAGGCGACTAACTCAACAAGGGGATTCTGCTTGTCTTGCAGCTGCTTTGGCCCTTACAAATGTTAAGTTTTACTCCAGTATTTCACTTCATAAAAAATGTCCTTCACTGGCAATGGGGAAAACTGCAAAGGAAGTATACACACAGTGAAAAAAAAAAAAGAGCGCTGAACGTCACTGGAACTTGGCAAGTATTTTAATGTCTGCTTTGCCCAGGAATTTGTATTGGCTGCTCTGGTTGTAACTGTGGTGACAGGATGCATTGGAATTTTTCTTGGATTTGACTTTCAGAAGGGTGTTCCCCAAATGAAGTCATTTGCATTGCAGGACAAAAGCCAAGCTCTGCCTAATAAATGTCACAAGCAAACACCAGTTTTTTGGCAGACTTGACTACTGCTACCTGTTGGAGGGCAAAGTGATGTTTCCTCTGAAGCCAGTGATACTGTCCTGGACAGTGCTGGACCACTGGGTTTGATCCACTACAGCTGTTAATCGCAATGGGCAGAGGTATAAACATCCATCACCTCTAGAAATTGCATCCTTTGAAGCAAAGCTTAAAAAATTGCGTCTGTGCCTATCTCCTCCAAATCTTGTTACTAAGAACTTTACAATTAATATCACAGTGGTCTTACATCAAGTATAGATTGAAGGTCCTATTTTATCTTGAAATACATCATATACTGCTTCTCCTGGTTGCTTCACAGGTGCATGATGGGGTCTTATTTGGGGGGAAGAAGAAGGGGACAAGACATCTGCTTAGCTCCAGAAAGGATTGTCTTTCAGTTCTCTATGATGATGGCTTCCTGGAGGTGGGTGGCCTTTTATTCATGCAGACAGTGAGTTGCTGACTGAGAAATCTGTGTAGGGAAATGAGCTTTGTCCTAATTCCACTGGAATCAGCTGGGTTAGGGAGATTCTCACATGTTTTTTTTTAATGAGCTCAGAATCAGTATCTTAAAAGACGTTACTGTACGTTAATGGAATAACATTGCCAAATTTTTTTGACTGTCAGACAATCCCAGGCTGAGGTAGGGAGAGTGCCTGACTATTAACATGGTTATTTATTTGACTACCTGCCTTCAGACAGCATATTTTAGAGCAGCTTGTCAGCTCTAATGAAGCTGACATGAAAGGTCCACTGACTGGCTGGAATCATTAAAGCAATGTGCTTTTTTCTTGGGGGGGAAAAAGCCCAAGACCTGGTCCCTTTATGATATTGCTGTTTCAGCCAGAGAAGTTAAAAACTATTCCCACAGAATATAATCAGAAGACACATCCAGAAGATTTTCTTATCCACCTGACGTCACCCTATGGTGGTTAAGAGTTGTGATGGGATTGGAGTCACAATGGTCTCAGGTTAGACAGAGTCTGAAATTTGCAGTTTCTGTTTCAGATCTGAAGGCAGCTTTCATGACTAAAGCTTGTGTGTATTTCTTCAACAACATTAGACATTCTGCAAAAATTTCACCTTCTGTTTTTAAAGGATGAAGCTTATCAGTATAAAACAAAACTTTTTGTCTGAGTTTCTTTCCTTAGAGAGGAAAAGTTGGACAGACCCTATATGTCTCTCACAGATACCTCTATTTTCTAATGGCATTCTGTTTAACCTTTCAACATGCTATTCAATTTCAGCTTTCTTGAAATTTTTTTTTTTCATAAATTGCACCTTGAATTTACTACATGCTGTATTTACATCTGCGCTGTTTTTCAACTGTAGATTTCCTATTTTTGGAGTTCTATCAATAAACAGTGATGTGGGCAGTTGTGTTTGGTTGGGGGTTTGTTTTCATGAAGCTCTTTTATTATACAAAATAATCCAGAAAAAACTGTCTGTACTTCTTTTGATGTCACTGGCATCTGGTTCTTAATCTCTTAAGTCTTTCTTTTCAGACATCTCTTGGATGATGGAACTATTTTTATTCAGAGATACTGAATGCTGGTTATTATCATGGGAATGGTAGGTGATCACACCCACAGTACTACCCAGACTCCCTGCTGCTCTGGAACTGCTGAAGTTTCCACTCAGACAGAAGCATACTTTAGAAGAAGTGCTTGAGCTGTTCGCGTACTTATTCTATAGCTTGGCACCCACCTGGAAAGACAACTGTGTTTCCTTATGTTACCTCAATTATGCTCTTTTCTGTAGGAAAACAAAAAACTGGCTGTCTCAAATATAGGCTGCTGCATTTCATTGTCCTGACTCACCAGGAAGGTTGTCATAGTTGGAAATTTGCAGGGATGCTGTAAGTATTTGGGTGGATTTTGAGTTTATAATCACCAATGTCCAAAATGATGCTATTGCTTTATGATGTTCTTTTAAAAGTAAGTGGTAACACAGCTGGTGATTTTCTTCTTAATGCTTTAAAATTGTCCATTGTTCCATTGGAGGTTGATTCTCACAAAAAAAAAAAAAAGAAAAATGAAAAGGGGTAACTATTGTTAAACTACACTGAAAAACCATCCACCTTCTCTAACAGCATAAAGCATTTCTCTTATTGTGTCACTTGGCTGAGCATTGAGTTCTAGGCTTTTTCCCTCAATGTCTTATCCAGGCTCCTGGAGACAGTCCAGTTCTTTCTGTTAAAATACTGCAATTGCTGGTGTACTGCAGTGCATGTATTGACAGAGGATGCTGAAATGCCAGGCTCTGCTTCTGGTTGACTTTTGCTGACTGCCTTAACGATCCACCACTTTGATGCATTACATAGAAATGCTTCTCTTTGTCTAGTGCTTTTTCATAGAGAGCCTTTTTGTCATGTTTGCAGTTTGGACTTAAGAGCAAAAAATAAATTTAAAGCTTCCTTTACATTAGGAAGACTAGAAAATGGTCACTGCATATTAAAATTGCTGAAAGAAAAAAAATGAGAAAATCTAGAGAAAGTAAGCAAAATATTGTGTAAAATCTTTCTTAATGAACAATGTAATCTGTTTCTGATAAAAGGAACTTCAGGCTAAACCTAAATAATCTACTCTGTTGCAAAAGCCTAGCTAATTACTGGTTTATCCTTGAGGAAAAAACTTTGGCTTTTGCAAAGTGGAAATGGAAAACTCTGATGACTTTGCATGTTTCTGTCACAATTAACTAGGAATGAACACTCATACCTTCTGGGTTTGTTGGCTGGGGTTTTGTTTGCTTGTTTGTTTTGTTTTGGGTTGTTTGTTCGTGGGGTTTGGCTTTTTGGTGGGGGGGCAGGGGCAAGGGTGGGAGGGGATGGAAGTGGGAGGGTTTTTTTTTTAGATTAAAATATGTTTTGCTCCACTTGCTTCCCAGCTTTGGATTCAGACTGTTTCGGGCTATTTTCATTTTAAAGATCCCCCTCCCCCATGCTCATCGGAAGAACAGAGAGAAGCGCGAGGGGGAAGAAAAATCCTTTTACACGTGAAGATGCTATCAGCATCAGTATAATGATTTTCAGTTTAGCAAAAAGAAAACTAATAGCAAAGTGGTATTTGGGTGCACCATGGGAACAAACAGAACTGTTACCACCGCACAAAGACGAATGGTACATTGCTAAGAAGACATTTCCATTCAGCACTGTACTTTTCAACACCTGTATAGTTCAGAGCAAGGGGATACTCCCAGTTCGGGAGTTGTGCCGCGTCGGGAAACCTCGCTCGGAACTCAGCTGAGCCGCAGCCGCCCGCAGCCGCCGGCTCCCCAGCAGCCGCAGCTGTCCCAAACGCGGTGCACGCTCGGGCACGGCAGAGGCCTTTTGTTCTGTAGCTCGCAGCTCCTCTGCATTCCTCCCACGTACGGGCTCGTAGCTCATCGCCTGCTGCTGCTCTCGACTACCAAAAGGTAGATCCACCTTCGGCGGACCGACCGCGGGGCAAGGACCTTTCGATTCCACTGACAAATGAGCACTGTTAGTCAATTCAGAGAACTTAAAAATCTCGGGTTTGAAAACAGAAGAAGCCCCTTTCATTTCTGTCAGGCCAGGTGGCACTGTTTGCCCTGGGGATGGTTCCGTGCGCCTGAAGTTGGTGTTTGCACCGCTGATAAAATGAACAGCTCCCGGCCGGGACAGCGCGACACCGGCACAACACGACGGCAAGGACCGGCTGTAACATGACCTGCGGAGCCAGGGGAGACCTGCAGGGAGACATTTAGGGTTAGCGCAGCGACAGGCACCACTGAGTGGGAGATAATTCCTCTCCACAAACGGAGCGCGGGCAGAGCCAAGCAGGGGCGGATGCTCCTGCCCGCCGGCGGCTGCTGGACCCAAAGGTGGTCAAGTTCACGGGCAGCGGGGTTGCGCGGACGGCGGCCGCCGGACGACCCCGGGGCTCTGAGGGGCAGGGGCGCGGCCCCGAAGCCCCTCGGGGCCGCCCGGCTCGTCCCCGCCCGCCGCCGCCGCCGGGCGGGACCATCTCTGCCCTTGGCGAGGGGGGGGGCGCGCTCCGCCCCGGCTCCCCGCCTGGCCCGCCTCCCCCCCGCGCGCGCAGAGCGCCCCTCCGCCTGGCGCGCGGCGTGGTCACGCCCAGCGCGGCATTAACGCCCCCCGGCGCGGGGCGCGGGCGCCCGGGCATCCTCCGGCGGCGGCTCCTCGGCGCGGGGCGGGCGCGGAGCGGTTCCCAGCGCCAGCCCTGCGCGCTCCGCCGCCCTCTCTGCGCCGCCGGACAACGCCATGAAGCCGGCGGTGCTGGAAGTAATGAGGATGAACCGGGTGTGCAGGATGGTCCTGGTCACTTCCGTGGGCTCCTTCATCCTCGTCATCTTCTATTTCCAAAGTATGTTGCACCCAGGTAGGGCATCGCAACCGCACCGGCATCACCGGCACCACCGGGTCCGCGGAGGGCAGCGCCCGCCCCGCTCCCCACCGGCGCAGGTGGCGGGCGCCTCGGGTGCCCTCGCTGGCTGCCGCCGGCCCCGGCTCTCGGCTCCCGGCGCCGCTGCCGCAGGCGCGGGGCTCGGCGGCGGCGGGCGCAGCGCCCGCGGCGGCCACGGGAAGGTCGCCTCGCCCCCCGCAGGAAACTTCGCGCGGGAGGGAGGAAAGTTGGTTTGTTTAAGATTTTTTTTCTTTTCCGCTTTATATCGTGGGTTTGGTGAAGGGGGACGGGAGACGATAGCGCCTGAATAGCGCGTCGTGGCTGAGCGGCGCCGGGAGCTGCCCGGTCCCCGCGGGTCACCCCGGCTGCGAGCGGGACCCCAGGTCCCCTCTCCCGTCAGGGGTCGCGGGCCTTCGTCTTCCCAGCTTTTCGTTTTCGGAAGCGTCAGGGACACCGCGGCCGAGCAAGGGCAGCAAAGGCAGTTCCGCGCCGGCTCGCCCGAGTTGTCCGGAGCGGCGGGGGCGGCTGCCCGGCCCCGGCCATCCCTGCCCGCGGCGCTGCTGCCCGGTCCCGCCGTGTTCGGGCGGCCGAGGAGCTCCGGATGGAGCCTCTGGCTGGGCACGGGCAGGGACGCAGGCTGCGGAGCGCCGTGCAGGGCTGCGGGGATCACCTCGGGTCCACGCTCCCGGGTACCTACGTAATCCGACTTCAGCTTTTCGGTTTTCCTTAGCCTAGGGATGGAGCTGTACCGGGGGCAGCAGATGCTGGCTCCCAGAGAAGTCCCACGTAGATCAGCTCGTGATTGACACAAAGGTGGGATTGGGCTGTGGAAATTCCATGTGGTGTCAGCTGTGTGCACGGACCCCTCATGGATGTTTTGTAATGCTTGGTGAAATTTGTCCAACGTGGCAAAAAAAAAAAATTAAAAAATCACTTTGATCTGGCTGTCTTACTTTTTCCCCTTTCTGCCTGAGAAAAGACGTGGGAATTGCACTTGCAGTATCTTTCTGGAGTGATCTGACGCTGAGCAGAGGAGGAAGGCTGGTAAGAGGGAGTGATACAGCTGTGGCCAACAGCTGTAGCTGGCAGACTGGCCACACTCCTCAGCAGGCAAGTCTTCCCAGCCATACCTGTTATTGTCTACTGCCAGCTCTCAAGCGTCCTGGCTACAGGCATATAGCTGTAGCTGATAAGGGAATTGCAGTCTAGTAAAAAGAAAAAGGATCTATTCAAATTGACTCTTTCTTTTCCTGTTTGTGGCTTCCATAGTTGCCATATGTCTATGTGGCACTTAGAGACGTAGTTTAGTGGTGGACTTGGCAGTGCTGGGTTAGTGGTTGGACTCGGAGGTCGTTTCCAACCTAAATGAGTCTATGAGAAGTGTTTTTTCCTTAAAGTTTCTGGAGAGTTTTTCATCAAATGGTTGAGGCTTGGTGCATTGATAGAATTAGGAATCATTAGATTCTGTGGTGAAGCCAAGTCCTGTTTGGTGTTTTTCTATCAGCTGCCTGCTCCTCCAGAGTTGGTATAATTTGCTTGATGAATGTGTTCTTGTATGGTGCCCATCTGTGTTAATGCCTGCCAACTTCTTGTAAAAATTAGCATATTTATTCTCTTTCCTGCTATGTCTGCCCCATGCTTACTAGTTTTACAAGGACTGCTCAGTCCTTAGCAGACCTGGAGAAGACTTTATTTCTTGTCTTTAAGGCACCATGCAGGATTATGGGTTGTAACATATCTTCACCAATTTAATAAAGTGTGATATTTTAATTGGTGGAGTTCCACAGATAATATGCTTTGCATACATATTCAGAAAATTTGGCCAAGACTTATTATTTCCTCTTGTTTCAGATGAATTATATTGCTGGAACACAAACTTAGCATGCAGTAGGTGAGAGATTACGCTGAATATTCTTCTGTGAATTTCTGAATGTAGAAAAATCTTCTTTTAAGAATTCTCAATATGCTCTATAGTTAACTGTTGGAGATTATGGTTTGATAATCATTGCATTGTGAGGCTATAAATAGGCTGAGATTTTAGTACAGTTCAAAGGATTTAGCACAAACTCCGAGGAGAGAATGCGATGCTGTGAAATCACCCGGAGGTTAATGTGCACCCATTTTCTGTGTGACACATATTTAGGTTGTTAGTGTGAGTGGAGTAGATCTGGAAGTAAATAGATCACAACCTTTATTGTGCCTTTTTGATCATAACTGATTCTGATTTTTTTATATTTTTTAATGGGCTGTTTCCATAGTGGAAACTGCTGGGAAGCTCTCAAGCCCTACTCTAGTCCTGTACAGAATGTCCCTATTTGGGTTACATATGCTTTGTGAGGCTCAGACAGCTGCTCTCCCAGGTATCTGTTATACCATTGTACGTGTTACCATCCTGGTAGTGCAAGTGCTAGATGAATGTAGAATCCTTGAAGGGTCAGGAGAGAGGGAGGTGGTAGACCTGTCAATATGATATACATTGGGTAGTGGGTCATTTTTAGGAATTAAGTCTTTTTTGTAAGATGGGCTCGTAACCCTTTTTGATTGTCAGAATTCAGCCGGATCCTGGCCAGAGTGTGTGTCAGGACTGGAGGTATTAAAAGCTTTCAAAATCTTGGATAATGTCCTTTTTGTTGTTGGAGGGTGTTCAGAATTTTCGCTGGTCTCCACTGAAGCATGTCTTTGGATGGCTGCAGGAGGGAGCTGTCTCTTGTCTCTGGCTTGCCATGGTAGCTTACCATGCTCTCTAGCAGAGGCACCTTGCAATCAGAATTAGATGAAAAATTCCCACCCAAGCCTTTTGGAGAGAAAATAAGGTGTTCAGATAAGTCCTCAATGAGGACCTTACTGTATGTTTCTTGAGCCCCAGAGTTCTCTGTGAGTTTCAGGAGGCTGCTTACAAAGCTTTCTCATCAGTTTCAGATGAAAGTAAAGGTGAAAGATGCTAGAAGGCGACCAGATGATGAGTCCAACCCCCCTGGGTTAAGATAAATCTTTATCTGTTAGAGAAGGTTTTCCATTTTAGGAGATCTGAATATGAAACTCTTGTTAGAAGTGAGACACAAATTTCTGCTGATAGCTTCTTTTTTTTTTTTTCCCCTTTGGGATAAGAAATTAAGAAAATAAAAAAATAAAATAAAATTTAGTTTTATTAACATAGTTAACAGTAGCCTTTTTTAAAAACAGACAAGTGAAAAACCCAAACAGTACAAACACACCCAATGCCTGAAGCTGGGAAGATGAGTTTAGCCTTATCTTTGCAAGAGAGTATGATATATCCCTTGTGCTGTATCAAGTACAAACACATTCAAACTGGAAGGAAATCCGCTGTTTTTTACTCTTTTTTCTCTTTTTGGCTGTGTACCCATTCTCTGTTGGGAAGCCAGCTGTAAATGTGGTTTGGTTATTGCACCTTTGCATTGTCTGAGTTTTGCCAGAGGTTGCCTAAGAGCTGGGAACCCACCCTCCCAAGTTAGGTTCCCCAACCAGTTGTTGAGGGAAGGTATATTGCCCAGCCCTCCAGTGCTCAGGACCACTGTAAAGAAAACTTTGGAGATGATAAGCTGTTGTAGCTTATCTGGGACTACGTTAGCTCTTGAGGGAAGTGGTAATGGGGATTTCAGTGTACTTTCCCATTGCCTGTCTAGACTTTTCTGAAGAAAAATATGCTGCAGTGTTTGCTAGCTGGAGATACAGCAATATATAGCTGATTTTCCCTGTCTCTTTTGCTCAAAATATTTTTCCCCTTCACTCTCCTGCCATGTGCTATCTAGATAACTGAGTGCAAGCTGATTATTGCTCCATGCCCCTGGAACTTCTGTCTGCGTGAAATAGGTCAGTCTTGGGGTTTTATGTGACAGCCCATCATAGTTTTATCTGCTGCATTTCCCGTGAAATCAGTTTGTTCACTAGTCTTTAGCCTGCCTACACTTCCACAGATGTGTTTGCTTTGTTCTGTAGGCTTCCCAGCTGCAGCAAGCAGGGGACTGTGAGTCACCCAGTGGAGGCAGGAGCTGCTCTGCCGGGCTGGGGGGCCACACTGGCGGTGTGTTAGGATCCCTCAAGGTGTAAAATTCCTCACAGAGGCAGGATAATTAATACTATCTTTATCTTACCTCAGACAGGTTTATGAAACTAACTTACTCTAAACCTGATTCCTTTCCCACCCCTCCTACTTGCATTTTTTTTTTTCTCCATTTTCCATCTCCTGTTTTAGACTTGTACTGCTCTCCTCTGGATGCTAACAAAGGTTGCATCTCAAAGGTTAGGTCGGATTTGCCTCACGTCCAGGATCATCTCAGTTACATATGCAGCATGGTGTGACTGAGAGCTGATGTCTGCCTTTGCTCAAATATCAGAACAACTCAGACCACAGGAGATTTTTTTCCTTATGTCTGAAGACAAGCTCACCACTGGTTTTGATGGCAGATTCTGTTTGAAAATCAATGTGGCAGTCTCCCATATTGCAATTGATCCTCGCTTTCTCTCTTGCTTACAAAGGAGAATGAGATCTGCAAGGTAGTTGGGTGTGTGGCATTCCTTTGATGGACCCTGTATACTGGTTTTAAATTATTCTGTTTGGGATACAGAGAAATGGAGTTCATTTGACAGCCACAAGAAACTGGCCCTCATTTAATGAAATGCATCCTCATTTAATGAAATGCATCCCCCAGAAACCCTGCCGTGTGCTGTATTTATTTGTTGGTGTCCCTATAAAAGCTTTTCATGGATTTCTATGGAACTGTCATCAGTGTGAGCAAACCTACTCTGGTCACTCTTCTCAGAGGGACTGATAGTCTGGGACCTGCTTTAAGTTTAGAATTAAACTGCTCTTTGTATCTTGTGAAAATCTTCCTGCTTAGTGAATATTAATCTTACTAGAAGAGCAACTTTTTCTATTGCAGTGAAAATGAGTGTAGGTTTTTGCAACAACTGCTTGCTGAACTGAAGAAATAAAAATTTTTCTCTGAATACGTTCA